AAATAAAATAAAAACACAAAAAAAATAAAAAATAAAAAATAAAAATAAAAAGCCTTTAAGAAAAAGAATAAAAATAAACAAAAATACACACCATGGCATGATGCCCCACTGAGCTTGGGAATAGCTTTAAAATTCATCTCAACATGGTTCCAATGAGTCCTGCCTACTGATTAGACTTCTGAACCTCAAAAATATGGGAGAAGATGGTAAGTTCAAGTAGACTTCCTGTGAAGGCTATCCTCACTCCATCATTCCACGATTCCTGCCTCTCTCCTTGGAAAGGCCAACGCTGCTGTTCCCACATCCTAAATTCTAGTCTCTTGGCACACTGGAGATCTGTGCTCACTGATGGCTTGGGTGGGGAAAAGCGCTCCTCCTACCAGCTCAGTGTGTACAAATACCCTGCTCATTCTTCAAGGCTCCCTCCCCTATGCAAACTACTCCTCACTGCCCAGCTGAGAGGGACTTGACCTCACTTTGGAGTCCTCACAGCACTGTCTGTACATTTTCCTGAATTATGTCCCACTCTTCCCTGCATTACTCTTCCCAGGATGGCTAGTTCCTTAATTACCCTGTATCCTCTCAGAGTACTGACTATAACCACCACCATTACACTTAAGGTTTGCATACTACCTACATCATCTTGTTTAACCCACATGCAAGTTCTACTTTACAGATGAGGAATATGAGACCTGGCATGATGCAGCCTCCACTGGCACACAGACAAAGGGCACAGACCTTGTCTCCCATTTTATTCCACACCCATACTTTTATGTCCTCAGATGTACCAAACTACTTCTCACCTTTGTCCCAGGAGACTCTTCTGCCATGACCTCTCTCTGCGTGCCAGAGACCTTGATCTGATCATGTGCTCACTACAACCCTATTAGTGAGAACACAGTCTCTCTAGCTTCCGTTTCCAGTGCCCTTTCCCCTCTCAACTCCCATTAACCTTACCACACCCTTGTTTCTTTTTCTCAGAGCACTTTATCACAGCCTCCTTTTCTGTTACATGTTACATTCTATGACATGTTCTGTGTTTTTGTTTTATGACCACCTTCCTCAGTAGCCATAAGGGAAATGACCACATATGGTTCCTCACCATAATATTTGCATCTAGCCAAGGGCCTAGCATACACAGTAATCAATGCTCATACTTGCTGAGTAAATGAGGTTCAGAAAGGCTTGATAACTTACATAACATTATAAAGTTCATACAGATAAGCTGATAAAAAAATGAAATTCAAACTCAGATGTGACCAAAGATGGCACTCTTTCTAGCCTCCTTGTACACAGTAGGTGCTTAACAAGTATCTGCTAAATTAATAAATGAATCAACTATGGAATCCTTAAGTTAACACTTGGATGGTCAGTGCTGAAATGAGGACCTGTAAAATGCCATTTTCTGTTTGGTGAATTGAGTTATCAATTAACTCAGACATCTATTAAGCACCCACAAAGAGCAAATCTGTATGTAATCTCTATGATCCAAAACAATAATAGGTCACTGTATTTGGCTGGGAGATAATAGGCAAGATCAGGACTATAGTATAGGCCTGGGCAGGTTGTACACTGCCGAGAATGCCCAATGGAGGGGAAGAAGTGATGGCATAAACTCAGCCTGCCTTCCTCTAGCTAGGCCATGTCCCTGATGCAGGGCTGCCCCACCCAGAAAAGGCACTGTTTGCTTATTCTAACAAGGGCAACATATACAACAATACAGGGTCAGTTTTACTTCTTAAAGTTAGAGCTCCACCTTAAGACTGGGATTTTAACAGTACAAAAGACACTGACCATTAAGGACATAACCTCCCTCCCAACCTCCCCATACCCGTGAAACTACCACTTAGTATGAGAGTATTCTATATCATGAATACTTATGATAAACACACACAAAAAAGGAGGGATGGCCAATTCATAGCCTCCTTTGATTTCGGACTAGTTTATCATATTAGGTACTGTTACTTGTCAGAGCAGAGAACCCTAAAAGTTGGGAACTGAACAGATTAAGTTTCCATGCAACTTCTGAGATTAAACAAACAACTAAGATTAAAAAAAAACTTTGAGATTAAACAAACACCCACAAATTCAAATTTTATAGCGAATTTGTTCCCTGAAAATCATGAATTTCTTCACACTATCTTTCTGCAGACCTCAAGTGAAGTTGGTCTTCTCAGTTCTAAACTTATAGCTGAAGATGTTGTAAATATGTCACTATTTCTAAAGGAGGTTGGATCTCTATTCTTTGAAATCAAGAAGGCCTGTATTGCTTCTTTAAATTGCTCAAGCAAGTATACTACAACATGCCCTTGCAACATGCTCAACTGCACGCCAGGCAAAGCTGAGACTGAGCTGGCTCAGGCTCTTCTCACAAAGGAACAGCCATGGGCATAAAAAACAGATGAATTTATAACAGGTTGCACTGCATAAACAGCGAGCCCACATTATCATCATCTGTCTTGCACTTTGTGATAGAGAATGAAAGCATTTGTTAAATAGTGTGATTCTCTTTTGAGATCAAAGTTCCCTCTTCATTTTTCAGGCTTCTAGATCAATTTATTGAAAAGCATCATGAAATTGCTAGGTAAGTTATTAGTAAACTATTTTTACCCACAATTACTTATTCATGTGAATCAGATATTTCCATACTACAACCAACACTAAATTCAGAAGTAAGCTAGCAATGAAGCTGGCAGATGACTGGGCCTGCTACTCAGAACTGCACTTAAAATTCAGTGTTCATTATGCAGCTACATTGTTCTCTTTTCTGTATCATAAGTAAATGGTGGAATACTTCTAAATCTGAACATACAAAACTAATCTTAGTACATGAGGTTCTATGTGGGACTTGATCCTAAATAGGGGTCCTTGGTTTCCAAACACTCAAAAATCTGCATACCAGATTCCCTCAAGATCTCTTCAAGCACTACTCACAGAGGAAAGCAGTTTCCAATTAGGCTCGGAGTACTTGCCCACTCCCACTCACCTGCACTCCACACAGAATATAGTTCCTAAGCAAAAATGTTCCTATTCCATTTTCCTATCAATCTAAGCAAAAATGTTCCTATTCCATTTTCCTATCAATCATGAGGTTTTGTCTATCTGGAGCAGGTAGATGTACACCCTGGGTGCCACTCATACAAGTCCCCACCCCTTCAGCCACAAGATGAAAGCAGCACAGTCCTGCTAACCATGGCACAGTGGGACCCAGCCATTTGGCACAAGGCTGACTGGCTGTGCCCTGGGTGGTTACCAGAGTCCTGGGGGATTGCCCTCTAGGAGTCCAGGTTAGTACTTAGCCCACAAACTTTAGTTGTAGTGTACTAGCACACCTCTGTAGTGTAGATGCTAATTCTCTCTCCCCCACCCTCTCATCTCCACCTAGCAAATTTCAGCTCTCCACTGCTATGAGGAATAGTAGATTGTTACAAACTACCAGGAGGCGATCTGGTAATGGAATAAAACAAGTAAAAATTAGGAACTTGTGTAACTTCCAGAAGTGTATCCTCAGAATACATTATATATGCACACAGAGATCCAGCTATAAGAGTACTATTCATAATGACAAAAAACTGAAAGCAACCTAAATGTATTTTCTAAATGGATATTGGATTCAGAAAAGGATATCCAAGCAGAATGTCCACACTATCTTTAAGAATAACAACTGTTGCATCATAGATCCTCTGACAAGATTCCAGATGTCTCATTTAATGCACACACAACACTGCTATGAGGTAGATACCATATCACCTTATAAATAATAAAACCAAGATTCACAGAAGAAATAGTTTAGTCAAAAGTCACCTAGCTGGTGTCAGGGTCAGGTTCAAACTAACTCATTCACTCACACTTGCATTTATTAAGCCTACGTGCAGCTTTGTTGCGGGGATTTTTTTAACTGTTTACTTTGAAATACTTTCAGGTTCATGGAAGATCTATAAAGATAGTACAGAGTGCTCACATACCTTTGCTCAGCTTGCTCTGCTATTTCTAATATTAATGCTATGGTATTTTTATTTATTTATTTATTTATTTTTGCTATAGTATTTTTAAAATTGATAAAATGGAATAATCACACATTCCATCATCAAGCAATCCCAAGGGCATTAAGTAGCTCCAGCTGGCACCCACTTCTGCCTGGGACCACACAAGTTCTCTGCTGTCCACTGACTGCTCTGCTCTCCCCACCACAACATCACAAGGGCAGTTCAAGGGAATTAAGAAAATTACCGGGAACCAAAGGTTATTTATACCAGTGAGAATTCTAAAGCCACTGCTGATGTAGCCTACAGCCATAGAAAGATTTATGATTTTTTTCTTTTTGCAGTGCTGGAAATTGAACCTTAAGAGTACATGAGTAAGAGCCTTACTCATGTCATGTAAGCACTCTGCCACTGTGCTATATTTCCAGTCCCAATGCTTATGATTTTTAATTAGGTGGAAATTCTCAGGGAAATCTCAAATAAGAAAGAACAGTACTGGTGAGAAAATAAATATAAATGCTACATCACCATTAGTATTTTTACCAGGTACCAAACCAAACATTTTACTCATTTAATTCCAAAGCAACCCATAAAGTAGGTACCACTTCCCATTTTACAGACAAAGAAATCCAGGTGCGAAGAAGTAAACTTTACTGAAAGTTCCACAGCTATAAAACACTTCCCTTTCATGGAAAGGAACAGAATACAGAGCTCCCCCTAACCCTTGGCTTTGAACTTTGAGATTGCTAGATTCCCAGACTCAGGAAGCTATTTTTTTAATAACAATGGCCACCATCCAGAGATCAGATGCAACCAATCTCTAGCTCAGCAAAGCTATTCATGAGTGCAGCATTTTCAGCCCCTGAGTAATCTCTGCCTAAGAGTGATGTATGGCTCTCTTGTGCAGTGTTTCCAGGGGAAGTGAAGAAATGTCTGAGGGACTTGCACAACAGTAAGAGCAGGCTTCCCAGTGGTCTTTCACATACATTTTCACAATGCTGGGGACATCATGCACACCTCCAGCCTGCAGCCTCCCTCAGTGATGTGGGCAAGGTGCTGGTGCTGGCTCCTTTGCCAGAGTCCTAAGAATCCACTGGATGGATGCCTTTCCTTTCCACACAACTGCAGGGCCATGATTCACCTCAAGGGACCTGCATACATGACAGGATGGGAGTTAGCATAAAAATAGCACCACAAAATGCAATCTATTTGCTTCATCAAACAAACTGCTCTAAATTGGTCGTAGAGGTGCATACCTGTAATCCCAGCACTCAAGAAGCTGAGGGCAGGAGGATGGTGAGTATGAGCCACCCAGGCTACATAGCGAGTTCCAGTCTAGTCTTAGCTACATAAGGAGACCCTGTCTAAAAGAAAAAAGAAGAAAAAAGTTGCTGTTCTACAGACAGCCTTTGCTTTCAAAGAATCCCTGGTTTGCCTTTAGACTCACTATGTTTCATACTCAAGCGACTAACTTTGAATCATTCAAACCTGCTTTGGTCTTTGGAGTTTCAGGCACTACAGAGTGCATAATTACTATATAAACATGAATATCCTCAACAAATACTGAAACACTAACAAGACATCAGCCAAGGGCCTAACTCAGGTCCACGCTTGGAGTTAGAGCACTGGCAGAATGTGATTCAAACACCATTAGAACTAAGCTTCAGGAAAGACAAATACTGACCAACACCCAGGAGGAGATGGGGCATCCTAAGCGGAAAACACACAGACAGAAGGGAAAAAAAAGCAGCCCCTGTTCCTGGTCACCACTGGGGCAGTGAGGAAGGTTAGTAAGCAAAGTCACTAGGATCCCCAGGGGCACCTCCCCAGTGTCCTACAGCTCTGGTACTCAGAAAGCTGCTCAACAGATGACATAAAGACAACATAGGAAGCTGCTTTTTAATGTTCTAAGAGCTTAGAACTTCTCACTGCTGTGAGAAGGGGGAAGTAAAAGAGGGACACCACCACACTGAGAAGCCAAGTAGCAAAGTGCTGGATAGTTTTCTCACTGGGCACACCTGGAATCACACAAACAGTAGTTATGCTGAGTCCTCATGATGAGACCACAGAATGACAAAGAAAAACAACCAACTGTGCAGGGGAGTTGGCATGCTGGTTACAAAGCGAAATGGGTAGGGATCTCAGGTTGTGGAGCCACGCAAATGCCCTCAACCCTGACTGTTTCCAAGGCTCTGCACTCCTCAGTTTTCGTGGAGAACTTTCCCATCTATTGACTTAAAGACTGACAGCTCAAGTCAAATGCCTCGCCTTCCTTGTGAAGTCCTCCTGACTTTCCCAAGCACACTCACTCCGTTCTCTATGCCTCCACAGAACTATATGAAGCACACAGATCACAACCTTAGCTTGCTTTGTGTTGTAAGTGACCTGCCAGACCATACTGAAGGGTGAGGGTATATTTCATTCATTTACTTTCCTTAGTCAGAAACTGAAACCTCACAGGTGTTCAACAGAGGAGGAGCATCCATTGTTCCCAAGGACACAGAAGACTGGAACTTATAAATCAACTTACTAGAGGACCAATCTAATCCTAGACATGGGATTGTGCTACTCCCCCTAGAATTGAGAGGCTTTGCCCTCTATGACCCCCAAGCACATAGACCTGACATCCTTAGGCATGACCCATAAACTAAGGGAACTGGTTTCCAATCTCCCATTCACTTTGACCAAAACCTAAAAGCACAAGACTGGGAAGGTGTTGAAAAAAAATAGTTACAAAATACATTTCTGACCCTTCCCTCCCTCCATCCATCAGAGGATGAAACCAGGACCATTGGTGTTATTCATTTGCAGTCAAGTCTCCAACAGCCCAGCCTTTCTTTTGACTCAGTCTGAGTAGGAAGTCACATAGGTCTTCGCAGTCACTATTTACCTGGCTTTTCCTCCTGTGACAGTACTTGAGATGCTACAACAGGATCTCTTTGTACTACAAGGGCTCATCTCTGAGGCTAAGGAAAAAAAGAGAAAAAGTCCCTGGGAAGCGACGGGTAAGCTTTATGGCTCTATTCAGTGGATGTTAAAGTGAAACTGATGTTCAAATACACCTGAAAGGTGGAGCCTGACCTGACAGGACAGTCATGTATGTGTCTCCATGCCAGGTCAGCTGTCCTAGAAACAGGTGGCCCAAAGGGCATCATTGCTCCTGACTAATTCATAAACTCCCAAGGGCCTGGTCCCCAAGCCCCTAGCCTTACTCCACCACTATCAACAAGGGATTCAGCAAGTAAGAGGCTGATGAGTAATTTCTAAATAAAACTCCCTCATGGGAGGATTCACTTCCCTCCCTTCCATCTCAGAGTTGAGCAACACAAGAGGAGAGGTAGGGTTTACTGGACAGCCACAGCATTTCAAGGTTGTAATGGGTGCCAGGAAGTAATACTCACCCTCCTTTTCCATGGCAAGAGCCATCTACACTTTCGTTACTAAGCCCAACGAGTCTCTATCTTTACCCTCAAAGCTCCCAAGTCCAAAGACTACAGGAGTATTTAGTACTTATGAAAAAAAAAGTGATAGTGTGCACCCTCCAAGGCAGTAAGGTAGGAATTACAAGGTACCTTTAAAACTCAAAAACTCTTGTACTGTGGAAGAATTCATTCATTCTTAGAGGAAAATTAAGTTCTTTTTCCTGTGATGTCAAAGACAGCCACGCTGTATCACTTGCCAGGATTTTCACAAGTGTGATCAGAAAGGTGGGGCCAAGAAGTGCTGAGAACAGCACAGCTTTGTGACTGGACTGGTGGGGGTAGGACGCTGGGAGCGTGGGCCAGCTCCATCACCGCTCTGCAATCCTAAAAAGAGGGAAATGCTAGGACCCACCTATTCCCAGGACTGTTAAGAAGGTTAAGTTAATCTACTTAACACAGTGAGTACACTATTTCCTCCATAAATGAAGCGGTTCAGCCAACATTTCATTGAAACACACTATTCCACCTTTGTAAGACTTTTCAATGTGACAACAAAAAAAATGAGGCTGACCTATATGAAACTGTCAATGTTTGACCATTTTATCAAAAAATGGCAATTCCATATGGCTAGATCAAATAGGTACAAATAAGAATGCAAAGCAGCACATTTTAAATCATCCTAAATACCTAATGGAGCTCAAGACTTTTAAAGAAAGTATTTCAAACAACTTTAAAAAAAAAAAAAAGGATCAAATATTGGTATGGCTAATGTTCCCCACCCACAGTTCAGTCTGCAGGACCTTATGCAAGTTGAGTAACCTTGGCTATTTGGGGAGCTGATCAACTGCCAAGCTACCTCCTGGTCACCCCCTGTTACTCTGGCATCTGTAGCTTCAGGGTACCAGGGCCATGTATACCCACAGGAAATTCAAAGGCTCCAAAGGAGCCACTAGAAAAATACACAGAATCCTTCACCTTCTAATGACACTTCTGACTTCCAGAGGAGCTACCTCATGCTCTGTGCCACAGTCACAGTCCTGACCAGCACCATATGAATTTCAGCCATTAATCCAGCTGTACTGGAAGTTCAGAAACACTTCTGGAAGATGGTTCAGTGTTCCTAACACTGAGCATCTTTTTTCTCTGCTTATGCTTCCAGAAGTCTAAACCTTTAAAAATGAGAGACAAAAGAGCTTTTCTCGTATGTTAAAGTCAATTATACAACATAGGCCCTCTTTGTACTATCTTTGCAACTTTCTGTCAATCTAAAAACATTGTTGGGCTGGGATGCAGCTCAGTGGTAGAGTGCTTGCCTAGCATGAGTGAGGCCCTCTCAGCTGGTTTCCAGCACCAAAAAAAGAAAGAACCAAAAGATAATAATAATATAATATAAAAATAAAAACACTGTAAAATAAATTTATTTTATAGAGGTTAGTGGAACATTGATTAGTAACTAAAAGCCAAAACAGATTCAGTTGCTCATGGAGCAACAACTACACAAAAAAGGAGGACTGTTGTGCTGCTGCACAGCTATAATCCCCAGCCACTCAAAAGTGGAGATGGAAGGACTGGGGTTGGAGACTGGTCCCAAGCAAAAGTGAAATCTTATCTGAAAAAAAAAAACAAACTGAAGCAAAAGGACTGAGGATTGTGGCTCAAGTAGCTTAAAAAAAAACAAAACTGAAAAATTCTGTTAGTTTTATTATTTTGGTTTTCCCATCATATTCATAGGGCTGAGGCAAACTGGTCTATCCACAATTCAACTGGACACTGCCTATTCTACCTTGACCAGGAAACCCATACAGATCACCACGATGCTGTCTAACATGCTAAATTACTTTTTGTGTAAGTTGCTTAATCAGAGAATGTCAAAATCTGTTTGACATCCCCATCTTATGCTAAGAAGGAATGCAATTTTTGTGGCTGAAAAGAAGCACAACTATATAAAGACACAAGAAATGACTCTGTAAACCAGAACATTAATGAAATCTTTCAGATATATTATGTGATATTATGTCTATAGCCCAGTAGTAACAGAAAGGCTCTTTTCAACTACTGGCCCATTGACAGAAGTAGCAGACTCTTTCTCTGACCAATAAACTAAGCCTAATTAGAAAAAATATGCAGAAACATTTGCACTTGTCTGAACCCATGATTCTAGGAATGAAGTGAAGGCCTGGACCAAGATCATCAGCCTTGTGCTGAGACACACAGGTGAGCTAATTACCTTGGGCTTACAGACCCTGTTTCAGCCTGATCTTATCGCTCCAGTTCCCTTGGTACAGAACCATCGATCTCTCCCTGCCAAAGCCAGACCCTTTATAAAGCCCAGAACATTATTAGCTCTAAGTGACACTAAAGTAAACTCTCCAACATAAAACCATGCACCTCAAGTTTCTCAACTAAAAGTAGACTTCACTGCAGAAGAAACTGAGCACAAACGCTTATCCATGAAGTCGCTCTTCTTAGTATTTTAGTGCACACTGGATGTGATGTGATGTGGCAGAGGGAGATGGTAGCACTACAGTATCTCAGGACATACTTCCTAGTGCCCCTGAACTGAATCATAAGCCTCTGAACAACCCTGACATTCCTTCTTAATGTTATCATTATTTAATAATTACAGTATTCAACTAAATTAAAACTCCATCTATCATTCTTTTCATAGTGACTCTGTTGGCTCATATGTGTTTAGAGAACTACTATCTGAAAGTCAGTAACATTTTTCCCTATAGACATCCTTGTTCCCAAAGCACACTGTTCTGGCTGCAGTCAACCTCCTGGTCAGATAATCCTATGAGCAATCAATCTGTGCATGAAAGCACACATACACACCTCTAGGGTCACTGTGCAGCTGGGAATAGCAAGTGACAGCTTACCACCTATTACCAAGAAAGAGGGGAAAACATAAGCACCCATTCCACCCCAACTCCAATCATCCACCCAAGTTCACAAGAGCTTTGCTGCCTGCCATTTAGAGCTAGCAGATACCATGGTTTTGGTGGTAAAAATCATGAGTTCTGAAGTCAGATAATAGTTACTCATTTTATAAAATAAATGATATAGTTAATTTCTCCAAATACAGGTTTCCCCCATCTTTCAATGGAGATGATACTATCAAATGCACAAAGGCTGTTCACGGATTAAATGAGGTCCAATCAAGTACCTGAGCACAAAGCAGATATGTGATTTACAAGGTCAAAGTCACAGAACCAATTCCCATACAATGCTTTTTAAAATCCACAGAAACCACATGGTTTCAATTTGCACTCTGAAATCTGTCTGGTGCTACTCCACCCGTGCATATGAACATTGTAAGTCAATAAAAGCTGAGTCAGAGAAAGATTAAGAGAAATAACAGACTGTGATGCTCCAGTCACAGTCACCCCAACTGGGGTGACTCAATAACATTCCTTTCTAAATAAAGACCAACGCTAACACACTCTTGTGTTTTAAGAATACTAAGCTTCTTTGTTATGGAACACACATAAATACGTGTTCACAAAAGGAAAGCCTGCAGAGATTTCACACAAATATTCACAAACACCACATATCGCCAGGCCTTCAGCTGTGTAAAAAATACAAACGACTAGACACCAACAAGGCTGTAAGTCCTCTGAAATAAGCCTACACACAGATGTATTCATACCTTTAAGAGGAAATAGAATTAACAGAAAAACTACAAAAGCACAAGAATTCTATCTAAAGCTAGTTAGTATGGAACAAATAGAATTGTGTACATTTGTACACATACACACATGCACACAGACACCCAACTCATTAGAGCCTGAAGAACATTCCTATTATAAGAGCTATCATTTATGGAAGACCTATCTTGTATCAAGTTTTCAATTTATTAAAAAATGAGGGAAATAAAGTTAAGAGAGGGGTGTGCTAACCCAGAGTAAGAGCATCATTAAGTGACGAAACTTCCTCCTCCAGGCAATGCTATGCCCTTATAAGCACAGTGCTCAGTGCAACTTATGTTCATAGTTCAGAGTGATTAATAAAAAATAAATTTGTACTTGTGATCTCTGTGCAAAGGCAAAGCAAATGTATTTTCTAATTTTTTCAAAGTAAAATTTTTTAAAATATGATTATTATAAGAATAAATTCTCACTATCTAGAATACTTGGTTATCCCAAAATGATTCATCCCTAAGGGTTCAAAAGAGTCAAGAATTTACTGTAACTTGTACCTACATCTGGGAAAAAAAAAAGTTAAGGGAAATAAATACACAATACAACAACATTACTAGAAATTCTTTCTCTTGGGATTATTCGCAGTGCTTTGATAATAAGCAGAAGTGAAAATTAGTGGGGCACTGATGGCTCATGACCATGATTCTATCACCGTGGGAGGCTGAGATAGGAAAGGATCAAGGTTTGAGGAAGCCCAAGCAAACAGCTGACAAGACTCCATCTCCAAAATAACCAGAGCAAAATGGGCTGCAGGTGTGGCTCAAGTGGTAGAGAGCCTGCTTTGCAAGTGGAAAGCTCTAGGTTCAAACCCTGGTCCCACTGGAAGAAAAAAAAAAGAGAGAGAGAGAGAGAGAGAGAGAACTGAAAGTTAAAATTAAATGATGTGTCTTGACCAACTAAACAGCTTAGGAAAGAAAAAAACTGAACAAAGTCAGTCAACATTTATTTCATATTTTCCAAAGTCTATTGCTTTTTTAATAAGAGAAACTGGGGCTTAAAGGAAACCTCAGAGTTATGATGTTGTATTCAAACTCCCACAAAGGAGCTTCATTTTCAGATAAAGAAGCGAAAACTTAGAGGCATGAGGTAACTTAACCAGGGTCTCAAAGTCATTTACTATCAGATCCCCATTGTGAATCCAGACGCTTGACTCTCACCTCTTGTGGCAATGACTAAATCTCAAGACTAAATGAAGAGCTTGAGGCCAGAAACAAAGTTCCTCTAGAACTCTGAGGCATTCTCCAGGGGACACAGAGAGTGGTTTGGCTTATGGGACCAATCTCTGGGAGACCTGGGGAAGCAACTATCAGCTTGGTTGCTGACAAATAAGAGAATGAATTAAATGACATCCAAAAAATGAAACTACTTCAGGATGAACATAATGACCACATGCAAAGATAAACTACCAAATTAGAAAAAAAGATAATGATGCTTTATGAGGAACATTTACATTTGAATGATAAAATTCAAAACAGCTTGGATGGAAGTAGATTATTTGGATACAAGAGACAGAGGATCTGGATTGTCATGGAGAAAGAAGACATACTAACACTTCCTGCAGGGATCTAATCACCACTTCTCACTGATGGAAGAACTATGTAAAGGAAATCCAGCTGTCTGCTGGAAAACCACCTGGAACACCCTGATACTTGAGGACAGTACATGAAATTTATGGCCCAGGCAGCACAGTGGTGCTCACTAAGAACACTACTTGTAAAGATACTAAACATGGTATCTGAGCAGAAAACTAATCAGAATCTCATTCTCTCTCCCTCTCCATCTCTCTGTGAGACAGTCTCATTACATAGCCCAAAGTGGTCTTGAATTCATGGTCCTCCTGTCAGGCTCCCAAGAGCTGAGCTCCCAAGAGCTGCCTGGCTCTTTTCTTTATTTTTGTATTGTAGAAATGAAACTAGGTTCTCCTTTGCAA